TAAAAAAGTAAAACATTATTAAATGAATTAACCACCAATCTATTAATCCAGTGTTAGATCAAATCAAATTATAAAATTGATGATTATAAAAAAATGAGTTAAATTAAGCTGATATATTTTAACTGACGTGTGAAGTTTACCATAGATAGAAATTATTTGTATTTCGTATGAATCAAATTCTGAAAACGTTTATGTAAGAGTTGGATACTCTTTTACTCAAGATTACCAGCAACACAAGCTATAACAAATATACCAAATTAATTAAATTTATTCAACCACAACAAATGAAAAAAAAAAATCATAATTACATATCCCGTGTAGCAGCAAAGGTCATCTATATAATCCTAAAACGATCACTTTCGTGAGTTTATTCAGTCACATACAAATAATAGATTATATTTTTTGAACCATTAATGAAAAGTAATTAATTGAATATTGTCCTTCATCAGAAGTGGATGCCCCCTACGATTCATTCACGCATAGCTACACAAACCAAAAACGCAGGAATCCCCTTTGGTGCACTTGTTGCCGCATTTTCCACAATGGTGCTTGTCAACCATAGGATTCACACATTTACCTTTGCAACACACTTGCGAGTACTTGCACTTTTTTCCGCACATGCCACAGTTATTTCTGTCCGTTGACACATTCACACATTTCTTCTTGCAACAGTCAGGTCCTTCGCTGCCCTTAGTGCGACAAACTCTAGGGTATTTATCACAAGTCATGGCCCCATGCACAGTTTTATGGCCATTGAGGCTTTTGGCTCCACGGAGAGACGCTAATTCTTCACTTTCAGAAGATGGGGTAACAGTAGAGTTCTGGCTTTTGATGGTGGTCAGGAATGCTGATTCTTTTTTGTGTACTGTTTCTGAATCAGCAATGACCAAAGCCATTAGCATAGCCACAAGGAAGAGTATCTGAAGAAGGAACTTCATATCTGAATCGAAAGGTTTTGTTGCAGTGGAATGAAGGGTTCTTGGGTGGCTATATATACAGATGGAATGGAGTCAATTCAACGAGCTTCAAACAGTGTGCAAGTGGAGCGGTCTAATTCAACAGCTAGCTAACTAATCTGTGCTGAATTAACGAAATTAGATAGATTTGTTTTTTTTACGTATGAAATGTGAATGTGTAGCATATGTTGTTGTGTTTTGTTATTCAGATCGCGAGATTAACATGTGCCGAACATTTAAGTACAAAAGTATTAAGGAAACGCAGTCTTTCCTGAAATAAACCAGAAAAACCGGTACTGAGGCACTGATATATGCTCTTTCTTCCTTCTGACCTTCTCATATAAGAAATAGAAATAAGTATATTACACACACATAGTCAACAACTACCTTAACGTGTTTCATTTCATATACCTTTTACTGGTTTAAAGTATTTTCAAGATTACAAATTGTACTTTTGCTTTATTTTCATTTTGTTTGATTGTCTCATGTCTATTTCAAATTACTTTATTCTATAATTTAATAAAAATATTGTATGATTTGTCATAAGGTTAATAATAAATATACAATATGAAAAATATATTATAATTGAAAGTAAAGTAATTTATCTATAAATAAAATATTATAAGATTTAGGAAAAATAATTAAAAATTAAATCATAAATACTTCCGAACTATATTTCATCAGTCAAAATGAAAATTCATACAAGAATGTCGTATAAATACACGCAATTTCACTGAATATTTTAATAGATGAACTTAACAGTTGCCAATGTTACCAATTTTAATTGGTTCTCCTTTTAATTAAATTTTGTTCATGTCAACACAAGTCATAAGTTAGTTCAGAAATATTTTTTTATTTAAGTACATATATCATTAAATTGAATTTACCTTTATCATTTGCTAATTGAGGAGATTCTGTCACAAAGAAAGTCGATGTTTACAAAACAAACTTTTCCATGTGTAAAAAAAAAAAAACAAACAAACGTGTTATCCTTTTACATGAATGATAAAATATAAACCGTAGTCAACATTTTCCAAAGACTGTTCTCTGCATGAATGACAAAGTCTTATTATGTCTCCTATTTGCATGAAAAAAAATATATTAACCTTACTTTTTGAGGCAGGTATATTCCAACTAAATTATTAAGTCAATACTTTTTAAAAATTAGTCTTTAATTCAGAAAAAAGTCTCAAAATCATTAAATTTTTTTCCAAACTTAATCATTTTTTAAATGAATAAAATAGCACTGTTATTAGTATTTTATCAATTTTTGTTATAATATTTTGATGTTAGATTTATTAATTTATTTAAAAGTGTAAATATGTTGGTCTACTACAAATGTTTTCCAAAGTTTGCTTAAATTACTAGTTGTGTTTTGCTGTAAAGTGCCTTCGTGGAAAAAAAGGTGTTTATATATTATTATTCTTGGAAAAATAAACTTGGACTTTTCTTTATTCTAAATTTATCTTTTGACTATTGGTGTTAAACACCTTGGATTATATATTTTTGAGTATTTTGATTAAATTCAATTTATAGGCCAAACTGTTTATTAGATTGAGTTTTCGATGTTTAGCTTATAAAAATAACTCGTTCATGATATATTATATGTTTAATTTTAATTTATTACATGTATGTTTTGTAAAAAAATAAAAATTGAGAAAAATTGGTACATTAAACATAATTTTCTTTCTTTCTTTTTATTTAAAAACGCTGTATAAATTTTACTTCTATTATAAATTCAACTTGTTTATTTTTTTTTATCTTTATAAAAAAAACTATTTCTTTTACTTGTAAGGAATACAGATATATACCGTCGAATTCAAATCGTAATATATATAAACTGAATTTTGGACATTTTCTCTAAAAGAAAGCTCTAACTTTTGACTTTTGCATTACTTTTTAAGTTTGAATTTTGATTTAATAATTTTAAATGCATTTCTTAATCACAATATATACAATATAAATATTTAAAAGGCTATATTAAACTAATTTGGTAAAAATTCATAAAATAAAATTACTTTAATGTCAACTCATTTTTAATTGGTTCATTCGCTTTTGATTTAATAGAAAAATGATTTATATCAGTCCACTCAAATTATTTTAATTGAGTTGGTTAAGATAAAATTCTATTTAGCATTCCTTATTAATTTTGTGTTTAAGATAGTTATTATATTTATTATACCTAAATATTATCTAGTTTGTAATTAGGTAATAGCATCACAATTTATCTTGACAAAAATGGTGTTTACTGATTGAGAGAAAAAATATATTAGATGTTCCGCTTACACTTGTTAATTTGATTTTTTCATATGACGTGGTCATGAATTACATAGATTGATACTAGAAAAATTCATAGAACCAAAAAAACCTCCCTATTAAAAAAAGTTCACTATTCACAAAAAATCTTATGAGTTAAGATCAGCATATGAGCTTTTTTTAAAAAAATATTATTTTAAATAAAAAAATACAATTAACTCAATTTATTGTAAATCTAAGTGTTTTTAATATATACAAACGTTGTAATTAGTATAACATAAACTTGTGAGAGATTTCAACAAATTTGTTTTCTTTTATATAAGAAAATTACGCGATAAAACATTGAAATTTTTTAACTGGCTAAACATATTACATAAGATAATCATTTATTTTTTTTTACTAAAAAATAATTTAAATCTGAATTTATAAGTCATCTCAATTTGAATGTTTAAAACAATAAATTTATAAATAATAAGTTTATAAATTTTTTTATTATATGTTGTTTATTTTTTTTGTAATGTATGAATTAACTTAAATTCTACCAATTATTTATTTTTCTTTATAATCAATATATATATATATATATATATATAATACATATATATTTAATGATTACAAAATCCACAAAAATATTTTAAACAACATTAATCAAATTATCTTTATAAATATCCCGATTGTTTAGACATAAGAGAATATGAAGAGAAGATATTTCAACCTTCACAGTGAGTTAACTTGATACTTCTTAAATTAAGAAGGAGAAAATAATTAAAATAGCTTATAGACGTATCTTGTGAGTACACCTCAATTCCATACGAACAATTTTTAACAGGTTTCTTACAAAAATGTTGCGTAAATTTTGTTAAATTCTATAATATATTTATAGAAAATGTGTAGTCAAATGAAAAAAATCCTGTAAAGTAAGTAGGCATTCAAATATCAATATCATTGATTAAATTGAATGAATTTATATAAGTTAATCACATGTTTTTATAAGATTCTTAATTTTTTTTTTAATTTTTTATTCCTTTTTACGAAAACTTAGTTTGTTTTGCTCAACTATTTATGTTTTGTGGTTCTACATTTTTATTTTTAAATTAACAACATTTTCGTTAATGTCCCTCTTGTAGGAGATTATATCATTCTGTACCCGTTGATTATAATTTATAAACATTGGACATGTTATAGTTGTTATTAGTATTATTATTCGTATTTTATTTTTTGATAATATCTATTCAATAAAAGCTCAATCCAATTCATTGTTTTCTTTTTCAATAAATAAACTACCCAATCCATTCATGAAACAACATTTTAAAAAAAACTCAAGAAAATTATAAAATGAATTTGAAAAAACTAAATAAAAAACAAATTTACGAATTATTTAATGCTGAAAAAATTAATTACATTAAATTAATTAATTTGGTTTCGATAGCATAATCCACTGAAATTTGGATAAACAAAAGATGAATCATTATTTTGATAGGTAAATGTGATCCGTGTTTATATTTTCATTTCTTTATATATGCAAACTAATGAATAATGACAACTGTCATGTGAAGAGCATCACTGATTACATACAACTAATATTTGAATTGAAAATCTTATCATATTTGATGAGAGAATTACATAATAAACATTTCAATAAAAAATAAAGAACATACATAATAGTTTCACCAATTACAAACTATTTTGAAAACAATAATAAGGATATTCAAGAAACATATATAATTGGTAAAAACCAAGCAGATAACCATTGCAAAGAATAATAATAATGTTTGAGTGTTGTAAACTCTATGCATAGTTGCACATCCCCAAAACACAAGAACCTTTGGTGTTGCACTTGTTGCCACATTTGCCGCAATGCTTCTTGTTAGTGTTAGGGTTGACGCACTTCCCTTCGCAACATATCTTTCCGAAACTGCATTTCTTTCCACACCTCCCACAGTTGAGTCGATCTGTCGAAAATTTCACACACTTGTTGTTGCAGCAATAAGGCCCTGCACTACCTTTAACAACACATATCTTCGGATTCTTTTCACATGTCAATGCCACCCTTCCATTCTCGGAAAGGAACCGCCTTCTTCCCCGAAGAGACTTTACCTCTTCATTCCAATCTAAGGATGTTCCTGACAGAGTAGTAATGGCCAAAGCCATTATCAAGACCACACAAAAGAGGGTCTTCAACAACTTCATTGTTGTTTTTTACGTTTCCGTTAATGTATAGAAAATTTAAGTAATGGGTGAAGGTGAATGTTTTTGAATCAGAATGCTTCAGGTATTTATAGAAGAGGAGGTTGATGAGTTTTGCTTTTACATAGATTACGTGCATGAGCGAATAGCCTACGTGTGTGTTATTAGTGGACTGGTCTAAATCAATGGCCAAATTAATGGGATAAAGTTAGGCTTAATTTTTGGCAGGAACTTCTTCAACATAACTAATAAGTTGAAAATGGAAAGATTATTCAAGAACAACTAAATTCTAACAGCTGCTCTTTTAATTATGTGCAGTCTAAGGAAACTAAAAATTCGTTACAGAACCACCATGCTATGCACACATTATCCGATCGCCTAGTTTGACCTTTGTTTTCTATAGCTATATATTTTGACTTCGCATTTTGTAAATAACATACTAATTAGGTGACAAAATTCTCATATGATTCATTTCTTTAATTTTTTTTCACTTGATTGAGTTAATATTTTTAAATAAAGTCAATTTTAATCTTTCTTTAACTTGACATAGTTTGAAAAGAGACACGTGTTAAACCAAAAGATACTAAAATAAGTAATTCAGATTTTAATACGTGATATTGATAATGAGGTTAACTTAATGAAAACAATTAAATTAATTTATTTAAAAGATATTAAGATTAAATTTAGTTAATAAAATATAAAAACTAAAATAAATGACAAATCCAATTATAAAATAGTCAAATTAAATAAGCTTATATAAAAATATGAATTCGTATTTGAACTTTATTTTCCCATTGTATATAGCTCATGTCATATTCACACGATACTATTATTAGAAGGATGGCACACAAAAATATTAACAAGTATTGAAAGTGGTTTATGTTAAAAACCTTCTATTTTATAAAATTGTTTCAATTTATTAATAATTTTTTATCATTATCCATATTATATATATATATATTATTGTCTAAAGAATTTGATTAAAATAAATTGATATTATCTTAATAAATACAACTTAACTCTAATTTAGCTTTATAAATCTATCTTGGAAGATAATTTCAGTCCATTAAAAAAAATCAATATAAAATAAAATTACCCATTAACCAAAATTTTGAGTGTATGCAAAAATAACATACACATTTATGAAAAAAATAATTTATTACTTAATTGTCATGGTGCATACAATGCAATGTAACATTATTTCATTCATCCAGCCCAAGTTACCTCATTTCTCCATCTATCAAGAGCAAGAAAATGAAGTCTAAATCTTAGAAAACATGTATAGCATATTACTGATTGAGACTAACAGAGTTAGTAATTCAACATTAACCTATATGCTTTGTTTGACTTTGGTAGAGAGTGAAAGAGAAATAAAAGAAGGTATAAATGTTTTTTTTGAATTTGGAGGAAAAGAATGAAAAACAAAGAATAATATGATAGAATAAAAATTAAATTAATTAAGTAACATATTAAACTAATAAAAATTCAATAAATATAATGACGAATTAAACTTTGGTTAAAATAATAAAAATAATGACGAATTATAATTAAAAAATTATAAAATAATTATCTTAAAAAGTTGGAAAAAATATAAAAAAGTTTACTTAAAAATTAATTTTCAATCTTTTTAAATAATTAATTATAAATAACTATTTGTTTTCTACATATCAATTTAAAAAAATTAAAATTTAAAATTTAAAAAAATTGATTTATAATTTAATTAATTGAATTTAAATTTTATTTGTAAAATTAAGACCTGAAAATTAAAATAATTTATTTTAAAAAAATAATTTAAATAATTTTATTTATTATAATATAAATTTTTAACTATTTGTTATAATAATAAAAGCTTAAATGTTTTTATATTTAAAAATATTAAATATGATTTTATTCTTCAAACTAACATTTGAAATTAGAGTAGATTCATATTTCAAATTTTAATAAATTTCCGCTACAAAAATCATATTAATTTATTCTTAAAATTCGAAAACCAAATAAATGAAAGTTAAAAAAAAACTAATTACTATTTTGAATTTAAGACTTCAAACATATTTAATTTTATTTGAAAAATTATCATTTATATATTTATATAAGTAAACCTAAAGGTTAAAATATAATTTAAATTTTATGTTTGGTTAATTGAGTTTTAATTATACCACAAATTTATATTTTTTAATTTAATTTTTATTAAAAAAATTCATTTGTTTAAAAAAATAAATTCTATCCTAGTACCCACTTATTTAATTATTATTATTAACAAGATGATGACGTAATGGTTACTTGTATTTATTTATATTTTGAAGGATTTCTTTTTAATAAAAATTCAATTAAAAAATATCAAAATTTATAATATAATATAAACTTGATTGAAGTTTAACTATCTTTTTTTCTTGGAGGTTTTCATGGCCTTGTACAAACACGTGGATTAAACAATATAAAACCAGGTAGTATTAAAAAAACAAATAGCTGGGCCCACGTCCAATATTCCAAATCACCATGTCCTTTTACTACGCCAAAGAACGGTGGTGAGCGAGAAGGGCCAAGGCAATGGCATCAGCAGCAGCGCCGTCGCTGAAAGCGGTACTGGACCGCGTCCAAGGGGCTACTGAGCGCTCTGGCCGGAATTTACAAGAGATCCGTGTTGTGGCGGCTAGCAAGACGAAGTCAGTTTCTGCTCTCCGTCAGGTATACGACGCGGGCCATAGATTCTTCGGCGAGAACTACGTTCAGGAAATCCTTCAAAAAGCTCCTCAGGTTAGTTAGCTCTTTCCCTTTCATGCTTTTTGGATTAAGTTCTCAGTACTTACATTTCCTTTCCCAATCACAGCTTCCCGATGACATCCAGTGGCATCTCATTGGCAATTTGCAGAGTAACAAAGTCAAGCCTCTTATCGGTATCTATTATTCACTATCCCAGCTTCCATTTCTGCAACGAAAACGACGTTGTTTCATTATTATTGTCTCAATTTCGATTAATTTAGAGTTTAAGACGTGTTATTTCATTCTCAAACTTGATTTAAAAAAAATATGGGCACTTGTAAAATAACTTTGCCTAATTGTTGATTAAGAAACATGAGGACAACTTTGCTAAATGGTGGATTTTGGAAATTTTGTTTTGTGGAGTTCATATTTACCACATTAATAAATGGGTTCAATGTTGAGGTGATGATTGGGGATTCTTATGCTTTTCTCTTTTGTTTCACAGCTGGTGTTCCCAACCTTGCTTGTGTAGAAACTGTGGATGACGAGAAGGTAATTTTTTTTTCTTCATTTTTGGTTGTCGAGGTATGAGTACACAGATAAGGAGCTAAATCCTGAGTAAATTTTAAATTCTTTGAGGGGGGACGGAATATGGAAAATTCTTCATAGAACCTGGAAATTAGGTATAATATGATAACGAGTTTCAGGCAAGATTTTTGGGTTTCAATTGCAGTCTTTAGGATTGGAGCATCTAAACTAAATGGTAATTTTGCAGATGGGCCTCACATTCTAGAATTAATTTGTGGCGCCACCTCTTAGTCAATGGGTTCTCTGGATTTGTGCAAATAAATTTATATTAAATGTTAGGCTTGTTTGGATGAACTTCTCTGTCTAAAAGAGTAAAATAAGAAGAAAACTTGAAATTAGCTTCTTCATAAACTATTATCAGCTTATGTATAAGTTAATATATAGAAATACTGTCACAGAGTTTGTCTATTTTTCTTTAATTTTTGGATAAGCTAATTTTAATTTGTAAATGTCAAAATCATTTTTTCTTCTTATTTTCTTTCTTAGAAGGGCTTATTGAGAAACTCATCCAAGGAGAACTTTAATGTCCGATATCAATTCTTTACAATTCTGTTCTGTAAAGTAAAAATTAATTTCAATTTTGAAATGATACAGAAAATAGTTTACGTCTAAAATGTGCTGTCAAACAAGATATTTTTTATTTAGTGCATGCGATCTTAGTATTCTATTGCAAATGGTGTACCAATTATTGGTATTCCATTGTCTGACAGATAGCAAATCTTCTCGATCGTGCTGTAGCGACTGTTGGCAGGAAACCGTTAAAGGTTTTTGTTCAAGTGAATACGAGCGGAGAAATCTGTAAGTTGCACTTGACAGATTAGCCAACCAATTCACTAGTTACTATATGCAGTACGGTATCTTAATAATGTTGACTTGGTTGTGTTAGATTATTAACCCAATTTTTTTTAACACGGCTTGTCTATAATAGATTTAATGTGAAAATATCATCAAAATCACAAGAAAATGTTGCTTCTAATTCTTTTATGGAAGATATGTTTGGAAAATCATTGATTATAACTGATAGATCACTATACCTAAATATGTAAATGAAACGAATATTTATTAGAAGGATTACTTGACTTTTCATTTGTTCCATTTTAAAACATAGCTGCTGTTTTCAGTTTATTATTGGTATCAAGAATGATATGTGACTGCTATTTCTTGCCAGCCAAATTTGGTGTTGAACCAGCTCTGTGTGTGGATCTTGTAAAGCACATCACAAACTGCCCAAACCTTGAGTTTTCTGGTCTAATGACAATTGGCATGCTGGATTATTCATCCACCCCTGAAAATTTTAAGGTGGAGACTGTACATTTTGGACATAGTTTATTGGTCTTTTTGGGTCTTCCTATCTGTTTACTTTTGTAGATAATTCTCCAAACTGAATATTCTTCTGCACTATCAAGATGTTGTCCAATTGCAGAAGTGAAGTTTGTAAAGCACTTGGAATACCAGAAACGCAATGTGAGCTATCGATGGGCATGACTGGAGACTTTGAGCAAGCTGTAAGGAATCATATTTTCCCCTTAATAGAGATGGCTTAAACAGGAAGAGATACGTATGTGATTTGTGATTATATTTTTTTAACCAGCTAACTATAATTTTGCAGATCGAGATGGGAAGTACAAATGTTAGGATTGGGACTGCCATATTTGGAGCCAGAGAATATCCAACGAAAGACGAGAAGTAGCTATCCTAATTTTGCAGTCTCTTTGTGGGTTGGTATATTGGTGCTGACATTCACATATCAAACTCAGAACAGCACGAGCAAATTATTCAAGCTATAACTTAGTATATCCGTGAACATGAATTTGTATTCGGAATAATCTTCTAGATTGAAGGCTGTATACATTTTCTGTCAAACATAAGAACCAACCTATTCAGCTGAAGCTGAACCAAGATAATTTGAAAGAATAATGATGTGCAGCACCGAAAATAATTATATGAAAAATAGCACATCTGGCGAGTTACATATGTATTAGAAGTAACTTTGTTCTCTTATCTAAATGGTCATACTTGTTTTTTACTAATGAATTTGAATTCCCGAACTTTCGCGCCTATCGCTTCTGCGTCAAACATGATGCGCGTCCCAATCTTCCCAGGTAATAAAATTTCTCAATCAATTCCTAAACGAGTAGCGCTGTACTTGTAAAGAAAATAATTTTGCTGCAGATAATCAAATATGCATAACATACTTCAAGTACTCATATGGTTTGGTTTGGTATGGGATGGAGCCATAAAAACTCACAAAGACTAAAAAGCTTTCATTGTAAAAATTTTCATGATCAAAATCTTTACAAAATCTTTAAAAAAATATTTATTTTGAATATAAGAAAAATATAATTAAATCTTAATTTGTAATAAATTTAAATACTTTTAATTTGTTAAAGAATTATATACAAATATTTTAATCAGATTAATATAGATTTTGTAAAATGTTTCAATAAATTTACTTGTTTGAAATCTTTATTTGACTAAACATATTTAATTTTCCCTAAACAAAGTTTTAAGATATATAAGATAATCATTCAATTTTGTTGTAAAAAAAATTTATTAAAACCAATAAGACATTTTAATTTAAAAGTTTAAAATAATAATTTTATGGATTTTTTATTACATGTTTTTATTATTTTTTTATATGACTTAAATTTATAATTAAATTCTATCAATTATTTATTTTTCTTTAATAATATATATATATATATATATATTTATAATAAATATATATTTAGTAATTATAAAAACTTTAGTGTGAGTTTTATCATAACTAATTCAATATTTTCATATTTTGACTTAGAGTCTAGGTTTTTTTATGTCTTTATCACAATATATTATATGCATCTTTATTAAACATTATAATATTTTTTCTAAAAAATTAATAAATAAATTATAGCCAACAATTATATTAAATTAAATATTATATTTTTATTTAATAATATAATAATAGGTATGATATAAAAATATTAATTTAAATCTAATAAAATTACAACATTTTAAACTATCTAATAAAATATATAATTTGATATATATATATATATATATATATATATATATATATATATAATAAATGATATTATTTTTTAAAATTAATTAAAATATTGTAGGAAGACAAAATTTTCCTTTACCCTTATTCTAATATGCTTGAAGATAGACTTTGATAATTGAACCGTTTTTTTTTACCCCATTTAATAACACTTCCTAAAATAACTTTTTCAAACATAAACTAACACTAACCCATAAGCATTGAGTTTCCAACTCTAGATTTTACCTCCGCAAAACTTATTCAAACCTATAATAAATATAGATTAACATTAGTCGAGTATTTATTCAACTTTTTCTTATTGACTTTTATACATATTTTTCAATTTTTCTAAGCTTTTACTCACACGAGTTTAAGACCTCCTTAGTCTTCTTTTACTTATGTTATTCCCTTTATCCCTTGATTTTGATTAACAACTCGGTCTTTTTAAAGTGTTTATTAAAAATCTAAGTATAAGTCTAAATTTTACATTAAATAAAAATGAAAAAATAAAATATTATATAAAAATAAAAAATTTATTAATTAATTATTTCAAGATTTTAAGTAGAAAGTAATATGAATCCTTTATATAATTAGCTTCAAATAAGATTGATGTTTGTGTCTATAGGCAAACTTTCTTTACTAGATCCAACCATACGAACTCCAAAGAAATTTCACTTTTTTATCCGGGAGAACCGTATTTTTTTTCCGGTAGTAATAATTAGTTTTCTTTACAAAGTTATAAAATTATAATCCATTTAATATTGAAATAGAAGTCTTTTCCAAGCCGCAACTTTCTGCAGCAATGCATGAGGAGTCACTGAACCCTTTAATTTAATCCATGTACACAAAGTGGTTTATCAAGGTGAGATATTTAGTGAATTGGTTCAAGCTTGGCGGGGCAGCATGAAATAAGAATGGATGATGTTTTCTTACAACCCAAAGCCGCAATTACTGCCGAGTTTTAGTGTCGTAAAACGTTGTGTGGTGTCACTACCACACCCAACTTCATCTTCAGCCACCACAAACTCCCTCAATGCCATAATCAACCACCATTCATCCCAAGGTGCTCACCGGCAAGTTCTTGTTACCTATGCCTCTATGCTCAAAACCCATGTCCCTTCTGACGCCTACACCTTCCCCAGCCTTCTCAAAGCTTGCTCTTCTCTCAACCTCTTTTCCCTCGGTCTCTCCCTCCATCAACGACTCCTTGTTAAAGGCTTGTCTCTTGATCCCTACATTGCCTCTTCTTTGATCAATTTCTACGCCAAATTTGGGTGCGTCGATGTTGCTCGCAAAGTTTTCGACTTTATGCCCGTGAGGAACGTTGTACCTTGGACCACCATTATTGGCTGCTACTCGCGCATGGGCCATGTTTCTGAAGCCTTTTTTCTGTTTGATGGAATGCGTCACCAGGGAATTCCACCCAGTGGCGTTACCGTGTTGAGCTTGCTGCTTGGAGTTTCTGAACTTGCTACCGTGCAGTGTTTGCATGGTTGTGCAATTTTGTGTGGGTTTGTGTCTGATATAAACTTATCAAATTCTTTTCTGAATGTGTATGGGAAGTGTGGAAACATTGATGATTCTAGGAAGTTGTTTGATCACATGGATGAAAGGGACTTGGTTTCGTGGAATTCTTTGATCTCAGCCTATTCTCAGATTGGGAATCTATGTGAAGTTTTGCTACTTCTCAAGACGATGAGGGTACAAGGATTTTTGCTTGATCTGCAGACTTTTGGGTCTGTCTTGTCTGTGGCTGCATCAAGGGGTGAGTTGAAATTGGGAAGGTGCTTGCATGGGCAGATTTTAAGAGCTGGTTTTGACTTGGATGCACATGTTGAAACATCGTTAATTGTAACGTACCTAAAGTGTGGGAACATTGACATTGCATTTAGAATGTTTGAACGGAGTTCAGATAAAGATGTAGTTTTGTGGACAGCAATGATCTCAGGCCTTGCGCAGAGTGGGTCTGCAGACAAAGCACTAGCTGTTTTCCGACGGATGTTAAAATTTAGAGTGAAGCCATCTACTGCTACTATAACTAATGTAATCACAGCTTGTGCACGACTTGGGTCTTGTAATCTGGGGACATCGATTCATGGCTATATACTAAGGCAGGAATTACAGATGGATATTGGTGTTCAGAACTCTCTTGTTACCATGTATGCTAATTGTGGTCGCTTGGACCATAGTTCCATAGTATTTAATATGATGGACAAAAGGGATTTGGTTTCCTGGAATGCTATGGTTGCTGGATATGTTCAAAATGGTTATATTTGTAAGGCCATGTTCCTTTTTAATCAAATGAGAGCTGGTCATCAAACACCTGATTCAATAACCATTGTTTCCCTCCTACAAGGGTGTGCGTCCACTGGACAACTTCACTTGGGAAAATGGATCCACGGTTTTGTGATAAAAAATGGCCTTAGGCAATGTATCTTGGTTGACACTTCTTTGGTCGACATGTACTGCAAATGTGGCGATTTGGATACTGCCCAGAGATGTTTCAACCAGATGCCAAGTCATGATTTAGTCTCATGGAGTGCCATAATTGCAGGATATGGCTATCATGGCAAAGGGGAGATTGCATTGAGGTCATACTCAAAGTTCCTGGAAAGTGGGATGAAACCCAACCATGTGATATTCCTCTCAGTCCTATCTTCATGTAGTCATAATGGACTTGTAGAGCAGGGCTTGAACATATACGAATCAATGACCAAAGATTTTGGGATTGCACCAAATCTTGAACACCATGCTTGTGTAGTGGATCTCCTCTGTCGAGCTGGGAGGGTAGAGGAGGCACTCAACGTGTACAAGAAAAAGTTCTCAGATCCCGTTCTCGATGTTTTGGGCATAATCCTTGATGCTTGTCGAGCAAATGGGAATTGTAAACTTGGTGATACAATAGCTAATGATATTCTCCTGCTGAGGCCTACGCATGCTGGAAATTTTGTACAGTTAGCGCATTGTTATGCTTCAACAAACAAGTGGGAAGAAGTGGGTGAGGCATGGACTCATATGAGATCTCTTGGCTTGAAAAAAGTTCCTGGTTGGAGCTTTATTGACATACATGGGACCATCACTACTTTTTTCACTGATCACAACTCACATCCTCTGTTTCAAGAAATAGTTGATACACTAAAATTTTTGAGAAAGGACATGATCAAAATGCAGGAAGTGGACATTAACCTTGAAAGCAGCCACATGATATCACAATAGCGTGCTGAAATGTTATATCTAATTGGAATTTTGTCCACTTATGAAATGTCCTGTGAGCCTCAATGTTTTTGAATTTCCGTAGAAGATTGTGACCCATTCACTTTCTTTTCTTTTACAGTTTTGGGTTGACATGGCATCAGGTATCTAGGCAGATGACTTACCATAAATACATTCAAAAGAGCTTTTAGCAACATCCCAACATTTTTAGCATGGAAAAGGGGTTGCACAAGACAAGGATGCAGAAAGAGGAAAACAGATAGATTTGTAGATTATATAATATGATAAAAAGAATAGAAAATAAAATATAAATATAGCTAAGATGAAGGTACATGTGTATCATTGTTCAAGAATAAATACATGTAACTTACTCCTACTCTGGAAGAGACAGCTTTTGGGATTCGAACCTGCAACCTCCAAATTCCAAACCAACCTTATTGTTTTATCAAGGCTCCCTCTTATTTTCATTGAATAATTCTTTATAAATTATCTTCTGTTCTTTCAATGAATCATTAGATAATATTATTATCCTCATATTGCTTTCAGAATGTTTTTAATTATTAAAAATTAATAAAGTGTATATTTGAGGAAAATGTTTTTGGAAAAAACTAGAATTTATTTTAGGAAAAAATTATTTGACACCAAAAACAAATAACCTATTGGAAGGCTTAAATATCATAAAATAGAGAGCAAACTTTTAATGTTAAAATATCATTGTCCATTTTTTTGAGATATGTCTACACAAAATAAATAAAAAAATGTTATAAAAATCATATACTATTTAAATTAATAATATGAGATAAAATAAGTAAACTACCGGAAAAAAACAGTCTTCCAAAGCATACCTTTTTACAATTACTTAAAATTTATTAAAAATTATAAAATTATAAACTACACTCATCAAATAAAATAAAAATCTAAAATTACAAGATTCAATCAATAAAGAATAGAGAAATTATATATGTAAAATAATTTATATGTATGCTATCTTTTTGTTTGTATCTTTCTTTCAATAATATATATATATATATATATATATATATAGTTGTAAAAGTATCTTAAATTTAAATATATATTTTTCTTAAACAATGTATTTTAAAGAATATAATATATAAGTGTCATGACCTCACATAGAGAAGATTGGGATGTTAAATGAGGCAAGAAAGCAAGGTTAAACTTTTTAATTATGAATAAAATGACAGAAAATAAGGAGAGTATGTGTGTGTGTGTGTATGGGACGTAAGAGAGAAACACGTAAACATGAGGGTGCAGTTTGGAGTATGCGAATCTTGAAACGAAACCAAGCTTTAAGAAATAAATTATTATTCGCAGTGAAGATCCTCTTCTTCTGCAGCTTAGCACACCACATCGTTGCAATTTGCAAAGATGAATAGGAGGCAGCAAAAAGCCTTCAGATTTGTGATATGGATTCTGGGACTCTTTCTCATCGCTTACATTGCAGGACGACCCTTGTATTGGCATCTCTATGAATCCATTAATTCCACTTCTTCTCCTTGTCCTCCTTGCCAATGTGATTGCTCTCTTCAACCCCTTATTTCTCTTCCAGAAGGTATTCATTTTTCTTTCTTAGTTATCATCATCTTTCATTCAAAACATATACGAAAACTCTTCCATCTCTCGCTCATATTAGGTTATTAGGATACTTAGGTTACGACCCATCCCATTCTAGTATACACACTCTCTTAAACACATTTTTTAAGATTAACAAAACATTTTTAGGCTTAATGCTTATTTAATTATGACTCTCATGATTATTAACCACATTTTTTAAGATTAACAAAACACTTAACCATGTCTTGTTACACTTGCTTGTAGATTTCATCTGCAAATAGGAAGGGTTATTTTTCTTTCTTTTACCTTTACAAAGTGAAAAATGAAACACCGTATGATCAAATTTTGAGTGTTTGGTCCTTCATTCTGATTATGGTGAATGGGTTGTTTGTTGTACATATATTTCGAGGAACATGGTTTGTAAGCCAAGGAGTATTCATTAAGGGATTGGCCAATCAAATTGTGTGATCAAATATTGAACTTAATTAAACAGACTCTTTGGCCGTGCAATAGAAAACAAGACAGCTGATAGGGTCTTCATATATAGATATGTTTTTTATGGTCTGACAACTGCTAATTACTAACATGGTATCTCTGGTTGATTCTGCAGGATTGACCAACAATTCCATTTTAGGTTAGTTCCTCCACCCTTTTGTACAATAGAGAAAAGCAACATGTAGAAGGTCATGATTATACATACGCCTCCGTTTAAGTATCCCATGTTGGATCATGCTGCAATTTTGGGGTTTGGAGACTTGGTAAAAGATAGGGAAATTACTAACTTGCACTTTCCTCTAAAAGAAAAGATGTTGGATCGCTTTTTTATCCCAGCCTTTTGCATCTACTCACATCCTAAAACGGTGTAACACTTGATTTACGTCATGTAATTTATTGAGATAACTTTGACACAGTGGTGAGGTAGTCAAAAAATGTGAGATATCTAATTCTCTCCCACTTTTTAACGATAACATTGGTGGTGGAAGCAGAAGCATAGACATAATTGAATATTTGGAGAGTCTTAGAATCATGTGTCCTTCCAATTAAAAAGTGACATGTGCTTGCAAAATAACACATTCATAGTTGTTAGTCAATTTAGCTGAAATGGAGGAGAACAAGAGATTTAACTGTGACCATATATAATGTGTTATAATTAACTATGTTCATGCAGTTAAAAGAGTAAGATGATGTTAACATTTTAGTCTGATATGGTGGATGCCAGCATATCTTTTTCGAGGATAATACTATGAATATCCAAATTATGGTACAATTTCAGAATTTACACATTAGCATATATATGTCGTAGATTGCATGAGGCATGACCAAGAGGTGAGTGAAGAAATGGGGAAGAATTTTTCAGACCTTTTAGCAGAAGAAGTAAAGGAAAAAGAAGCTGAAGCTGAGGAAAAACAAAGAAAGGCAGATTCAATACTTTTAGAGGCTAAGAAAATAGCATCTCAGTACCAAAAGGAAGCTGACAAATGCAATTCAGGGATGGAGAGTTGTGAGCAGGCAAGGGAAAGAGCTGAGACAACACTTGAAAATCAGATGAAAGAAACTGCTCTGTGGGAGCTAAGAGCTCGCCAAAGAGGCTGGAACAAAGATGCTTCAAAGAAAGCTCGAGCACGTTCTTGATTAGGTTATCACACTAGTTCTACACTCTTCTATTCTTCTTTTATTATTCTCGTTACTTCATATGTTATTTAGTAAAAATAAATGTACAAGGATACTTCTGCTTTTAAATTTGCCTTAGATTGAGCCATGTATTTCTCAACTTAGCACTCAACCATTCAGTTTGCTCATGAATCGTTAATTTTGGTTTGTTGTCTAGTGTTCGAAAAAAGTTGCATCATTTGTTTCACTGCGAGTTATGTATGTATATGCATGTTTGCATTTTACTCACATTTTCATGTCAAATGTGAAAAGTGCAGAGGTTTTCCTCTTTCTGGAAACACTTCGCGATTGAAACTTTCAAACACTTCGCGATTGAAACTTGAGACCATGATTTTCTGGAAATAATTATGGAATGAAAATAAAGAGAGATAAAAGAAAAAATAGGGACTAATTAAATAGTACATAGAAATAAAGTATATTATTATATTACATTTCTAAGTTGAGATCGTTTAAATTTATTGCAAAATTTATAAAAACACATATAATCCTATCAAAGTTTATATATGTTATAGGAAAAACAACGTCTAATTCTCCTCAAATTATACTAAATAAAAGTTATACCCTTTTTAATTTGAAAATAAATATCTATTTTCCAAATATTTTTAATAAAATTACAGTTATATCTTCTTTAATTTTTTTCTCTGATAGTTTTTCAATAAAACAACATTCAACTTTTATATTTCTCTTAAACAAAGCTATTAGCTCGTATATTATCTAAAACTAATATATTGATTAAAATTTAAGTAGAAAATATTGAAAACTTAAAATTTAAAATTATAAAAAAATGAATCAATTAGAAAAATTAAGAATTTTTTTATTTGAGATATTCGTTAATTTTTTAATTAAAAATGAATTTCAAAAAGTCAAACGAAAAGTTCAGTCAACCTTTTATTATAAAAATTCTTAATTTTTTTTTTAATTTCAAATTTTATTTAAATTAAAAGTAAATAAATTTCAACTTCGTTATTTTAAAATGAATAAATTGTATTTTAAATATTCATTCTGTTTTAGCTATACCTTTCCACAGACAAAACATTTAATGAGTTGACTTCACTATGTCATGCTTTTTATATTCAAAAGGCTATAGAATAAAAACCAAAAATTAAGAAAAAAATCAAACTGAAACTTGAACAGCTTTAAACCAAAAGATAGCAGACAAAAGTGCAGATAAAGAAGGTTAACTACAGCAAATTTAGACTTCTTCAAATCAAATCTTTTGAATCTTAAATGGCAAAAATAATAGAGGTTTTCGGAATTATGGATATAATATAGGAAGAAAAACAAAGAAAACTAACAGGGTGAGATTATGAACAAAATTTCAGAGAATGTTCAGCAAATGAAACTGAATAAGCTGTGTTGGTATTGAAGATTCTGTGATGAGAATAAATGACAGTGTAGTATGTTGCTAGCATATACAGATGAAGAATCTAGAAATATAAGTATGACATAGGCCATCGTACCAAAAGGAGGCTGACAAGTGCAATTCAGGGATGGAGAGTTGTGAGCTAGCAAGGGAAAGAGCTGAGGGCGATGCTTCAAACAAAGCTTCAGCACGATCTTCATTAGTTTCTATTTTTTATTTATTTTTTAATTATTGTGATTACTTGATATGTTTCTCAAGTTAGTACTCAAACCATTTCCATCTGCTCATGAACGACGGTTTTTTTTTTAATTATTTATGCAGTAGACTTGTGCTATGAAAAGTATTGTATCACTGTGTAAATAGTGTGGCTAACCTTAATTAACTTAAAAAAGGAGTTATATCCTCTTTAAAAGTGAAACAACTTGAAAAAAACAATACTCCCGTTACTACTTTGTCTTTATAAATTTTAATTTTAAGAAAAGTTAAGGTGAATTAAAATAAAACGTGTAAGTTATGTGTTTTTTTTATGTGGAGAATTAATCTTAAAATTGAGTCTTTTAGAAATTAGACATATGAAACATCAATAAATAATAAAAAAAATTATACTTCGATACCTAAAAAAAACACTCAAGATTACTCATCTTATCAATATAATAATATATATTAACAATTAAAATATTAATATATTGGATTACTAAATTGTTTTTCTTATTTCTTTTCCATCATCCATTCTCTTACTACGTACTTATAAAACAATAAAGTAACAAAAGTTTCGTCATCAATATTATTAATTATAAAAAATTTCACATATCTTAATACATAAAAAAATATGACAAAATAAATTGAGTCAAGTTGACTCACCAACCTACTTAATTTAATTAATATTTTTCTTATTATATTATAGATGGTGATAAAAGAGAAAATGCTTCAAAAAAAAATATATTATAAATTTATCTATTTAAGAATCTAATATTATAAATGGACAAAAGATACATAACTATTTTAAAAACTTATTTGTTCGTCTTTTATACATGATTTTAAAGTTTAACATCATTTTAATGTAAAATTTATTAGATTTGAATTAAAAAATTATAATTTTTTTATTTAAAAAAAACTTATAATTAAATTAGCCAATAAGCCAACTTATTAAACTCACCAACCTGTGATGGATCGGACCAAGTTCAAATTTTTTCAACTCGCTATAATAAATGAGTCAAGTTGGATAGACTCACTAGGTGACCAACTCGTGATCGACTAAACTAAATTGAGCCAAGTTACCGTTTTGACAACTCTACCACTATCTTTTATATCTTGCATCTTATGTGATTATTATATATATATATATATATATAAATTGAACCAAGTTACCATTTTGACAACTCTACCACTATCTTTTATATCTTGCATCTTATGTGATTATTATATATATATATATATATATAAATTGAACCAAGTTACCATTTTGACAACTCTACCACTATCTTTTATATCTTGCATCTTATGTGATTATTATATATATATATATATATATAAATTGAACCAAGTTACCATTTTGACAACTCTACCACTATCTTTTATATCTTGCATCTTATGTGATTATTATATATATATATATATATATAAATTGAACCAAGTTACCATTTTGACAACTCTACCACTATCTTTTATATCTTGCATCTTATGTGATTATTATATATATATATATATATATAAATTGAACCAAGTTACCATTTTGACAACTCTACCACTATCTTTTATATCTTGCATCTTATGTGATTATTATATATATATATATATATATAAATTGAACCAAGTTACCATTTTGACAACTCTACCACTATCTTTTATATCTTGCATCTTATGTGATTATTATATATATATATA